CGTTTCTTAACAGTGTAAATTCTCCTGAAAAAATCTTCTACGGCTGGCGTTTATTACCAATCGTTTTAGGTGTCTTGCTGTGGAATCATGTTTTAGTGTTCTTCCCTTTTCGAGCAATTTCTTATCGATAATGGATATGCGGTGCGAATTTGTTGTTTAAGGAACTGGCTTAAGTTCGACACAAGTTTTACTGGTTCGACTAGCGCTTCTAGTCCTCGCTCGGGTCTTCATTTATTTGCCAGAGGGCAGATTTTATTTAAAATATTCCGTCAGACACGACTTGTTTCATTTTTCTTGGACTATGACAGGAGTTCTTTTCCAGCATATGGCTGAATCGAATCTTCGAACGGAAAAGGCAGTGATCAGATCCAGTACAGAATCCAAGTATCATTGAGCTGTCAAAGAGACATTATTTTCTGTTCGTGAGAATATGATCGATCTTCACATGAGTTGCGCCGAATGGAGACTCCCATGCCCATCGGCGGTTTCCTCTCTATTCGTAAAATGAATTTCCAAGAAAGACATGCTACGAACTGAAGTCCTACAAGACGTTTTCCATTCTTATTTCGTCCTCCTATTCCGATTTTCCCTATTCTATATTCATTTTCGTTGTCCTCATTTCGTTTTCCCACCAGTCCTGCGTTGAAATCTCCAACAACGAATTTACAGTACTTTTCGTTTGGGTTACTTTCTCCATATAGCTGTGAAACGCGTCCAATTCGCTTTCATCAAGCTCTCTGTAGAAGTTGATGATACTGACTTTTTTTGACGTGCAAACTGTGGAGACGGTAAATGGCTAAGTGCGTTGATAAGTTTGTATAAGTTGACTAGCTGGAAAATAGATGGCTGGGCGACAAAGCAAACACTTCCAACATTTCGTGGCTGAACCGTTTCTCTGCGGATGACAAGGGTTCCATCATTTAAATAGCGCTTATCAGCTTTCCTAGTTTTCGTCTCTTGTAAGGCGATGTGGAATTTGATGTGGTAAGCAGCTTCAATAAAACGTCCTGTGCAACCTGCAATTTGATCGCCTCTCAGTGGTTTTCTTACTGGTCGACTTCGTAGACGAGAACGCCAAGTGTGCGGGGCTGAGGCCGGAGTTTTGGTAGCTTAGCCAATTTGGTTCCCTAGCGACCTGAGATCAACCTGGCCAAAGTCTGCCCCAGGTCATCACCACCCCAAGCAATCGCGGCCCTTATTGATCATAGGGAGATTTGCCACTATTCGACTAATTTGGTAGCACAACGGTAGTGATACCTCGTATTGGTTTACTCGTAGTTCGCTTCCGGATGGAAACGTTGGGTTCCTTCTCAGCTTGGAAGATTCTGCCGGAGAGATGAATCCTTCCGCTGTACATCACAGCTAGACACCCAGGAACACCTCCCAGCCACCATGAGGCCGTAGACCGTTGGGAGGAAACTGTTTTGCAAAAGATGAAATGACTTGGAGGGTGGTTCTCACTTTTGCGTCTCAATTTCGGATAAAGGTAGAGATAAAATTCCAAATTATGGTCTATCCCTAAACCTAACATCGATCTTTCGACCACTGTCAAGTAATGTTTTAGGAAAGCACTCTAACCACCTGTAAGGTCAAAATTTCAGTTGACACACTACTCGAAATGTGATTTTCAGCTGCGTATTCTGAAGGCTAGAATGGTTTATAATACTACTGTGTGCTATAAGTCTAAAATAAACGAGAATATTACCTTGCTGTGTTATTAATTGTATTGTTACAAGAGGTTGCCACTTTAACTTTACCTAGGACTAACGTTTTCGCTTCATCAGCTTCTTCAGAACTGCGGTCATTCAAGTCGTCTGTCCACAGAAAAACAGCGTTATTTCAGCACGCCAGAAATGGCAACGTGGAGAAGGTGGAGGAGATTCTTAACAAATATCCTGAGCTCATCAACAGATCTGACAAGGATGGCGTAAGCACATTTTATCGATTATAATTTAACATTACCTTAGTTCAAGATATTTCCGTAAGCGCTTCTTTTCTGGCTATACAGTTTACTCCCGAATAATTCTCGAATTATTTTGGTATTTGGCTTTCTATATAGTTGCTATAAAGGATAAAGGATAACCCTCTCGGCGTTGATCAATCATTGAAGGATGCACCATGCATTCAACTTCGTTAAGCATCGTTTGGAGGAAATCGAATCCATATCTGGCCTTACAATAACTCGAGGTGGCCTACCAATGTTCGAGCCAGTGCTGTTATCCTTCCGGACAAGTCTGGTACCAATATGCCGACCTCGGAGAGATGGAGAGCTTGGTGGGCCAGGTGACCAGGAATCGATTCCATGCGTATCGCAGGGCGCCTCTGACCACTGCACCACACGTGCTCTTCTATAGTTGCTATACATTTGAAAGCAGTGTTTGATGACTGCCGAACTTTCGAGAATACTTGGTGTTGATTAATAAAAATATAATATGTTGAATATTTAAGGTCAGATTAGTAAGGACTTTCTTTGCGAGATTAAATTCTACTTAGCGAACGGTTTGAAATGTAAGAATTTGTGAAAAGAAGTCGGTTCCATTTTAACCCGACGTTCACCGATGGCGGTCTGACTCCATAATGCTTAAATTTGTGCTGATTGAAAATTGATGTCCAATTTGAGTTGAGAGAATTTTTTTTAATATTTCGAGAATTTGAGATGCTAGAACCCTAATTTTCAAACCGGCTGTCATTTAACCACGGTAGCATGAATCAATATCTTCTTGGATTGTTAAACTAACATGAGGTTGATAAATAGATCTATTCGGCTAAACATTCGACGTCTTCCTCTTCACCAGAGCCGGTGATCCGAGACAACGGTCTACAGGTGTTTTTCTTTTCGATGTGGCTGTCATGAGGATGAGAACGTGGAAATGTTAGCCAATTAGCCTCTTAGAGAACGAAAACCTATTTAGCAACCTCGTATTATATTAATAATACGAGAAAGTACTGCTAAGGCTGCTCAAGCACCATCTATTGATCAGAGTAACAGAAACTAGAATCTATGGAACCACGATGATGATGAAATATTTGCAAAACTCCGAACCGGTGTCTTCGGTGGCGAACGAAAGCGCTGTTACCTTTTCCGAGGGCTAACGCGTTCACCACCACACCATGTGGGTTATTCGTTTCGCCTGTCTCCCTGCTAGTTCTATCCATCATTGCCATCAGTAATCACCGGCCAACGGGATTGATCTGGAGAGCACAGATCGTTGAACCCAGTTAAGCTGAGGGTGTAGTTGAAATCCATCCTTGAAATCCATGAAACTCCACGTACTTTACATTCCATCACTTCGGGGTTCGAACATAGTCAGGAATGGGGTTAGGAAAATGCGGGATTTTGCGATGTTCATTGGAAAAAAAGCAATTGAAAGAAGGTGATTACTGATGGCAAAAAATCGATAGAACTAGCTGAGAGACAGACGAAACGAACGACCAGCGTGATGTGGTGGTGAACGCGTTACTTCCTGGAGAGGACAATAGCGCGTTCGTTCACCACCCCAAACACCTGCGGTTCGGAGTTTTGCAAATATCTCAGCATCGTTAAAGTTATATTTCGCAATATATACCCTGTCGTTAAAAAGAGTAGGCAGTAAAAAATAAGTTGAAATTGAAACAATATTTGATACAACCAAACAATCCCATTGTTTAACCACATTAACGTTTTTAAATCTTAAGTTATAGCAGCAGAAGTTCCTTTTCACCTAGCAATTTTGCTGATCCAACGACATCCAGATTTTCTAGTTAATGTGCTCGTGTTGTTTACATTCTTGATGAAGGGGAAACATAAAAAACCCTCAACGAACTCCGAATGCGGCTCCCATAGTTGGATAACTGTGCAAGTTTTGCATAAACTTCGGAAGCCCTTCCTGACAACTGTTCCTCGTCTTCTTTGACCTTTGTGTCTTACAAGTCGTTAATTTTCTTCTGTAAATCCTGTCACGAAATCATTCCCTATATGTGTAAACGAATATTTCAGTCAACTACGAACAATCACTTCAGGTGATAGAGAAGTCATTATCATGATTCCAGTTCACTGCTCTTCACTATGCTGCTAAATATGGAAATTTAAAAGTGGTGGAGGTACTGCTAAAACGCGGAGCGAATGCAGATGTGAAAAGCAAGGCGAATACCACTCCACTGCACATGTCTGCCAGATACTGTCGTCCGTACGCGCGTTACTCGGCCAGGAGTAATGGTCAGTTTGAACCTAACTCTCCTCCTGTTCATTTCTTTGTATCAGAGTTTCTTGCTGAAATGGTAATGATATGAATTCCTTAAGTGCAGAATCAATTTTCCAACGCGTTTCTGCTTAGATAGGGGATACATTTTCAAACGCGTTTTGTAGATAGTTGTTTTTCGACTTGAAAGCGCTCAAATAGAGGAACTATTCCCAAGAACACTGCGCTTGTTCGTATAGGTGCTGAACAAAGCACGCAGGTCGGGATGGTTGGTTTGAGCCGGCGTCTCGGAAGCACTGTATTCCTACGGCATGGGCCAAATGGCAAAATAACAAAATGACAGGTTATGTGTTCATTGACCTGTACCCCACCTGATAAAATCGAATTCATGGCGCATCCTTCAGTGACTTAACGGAATGGACTCCTTTTCCTTTATCTAATAAAAATAAGGTTTTCTTGTTGAAATTTTTAGTGTTAGCCTTATGACTAGATGTTCTTTTCAAGACATACAATAAGGCTAAAAAGCGTAAAGCGTTCTGTATTGAGCAAATCACTAAGGTGTTCGCCATGCACTCGAAACTTCCGACCTGAGGAATGAAGGGTTTGGTTGGGTTCAGGTGTAATGTTGAAGGAGCGACCATGTGGATCGCAAGGGACATCTGACTGCTACATCATATGCGTGCGGGATGCACAATATTGCACAGCTATATCAGAGGAAATTTCAGAAAGGGTCAGGAGGTAGACCAAAAATTTAGCGCGAGACAACATGCACTTTGCAATTTTACACCTTAATTTACCAAAAAGAACAAGGTTTAAATGCGTATGGAAGGGAATTTATCGTTTCCAGCGTCTAGTACGTCGCTGCAATTCATGGACCTCCCAACTCCGTGCAGCGGTTTCGCGACTACCAACAACACCACCGCGATAGTGAACACGCTTGTACGACATGGCGCGTAGGTCTACCTCTGTACAGAACACTTTTCTAAGCCAAAAATGCATTCTTTCCAGGAACGTCGATGCCGCAGACGCGTATGGACTGACCCCACTTCACTATGCTGCGATGAAGGGGAACCAGCAGGCGGCTCAAGCTCTTCTGATGAATTGTGCTACTGTGAACGTGAGTGCGAACTATTTAGCCTTAAAAAATAAAATTCAATTGGCCGTCAGAAAAACAGTGAAATCATAAAAGTCTGAGTTTATGGAAATAGTCATTGCAGTCAAAAGGTGTGAAAGGTATGACACCTCTTCTGACGGCGTGTGTGCATGGCTCGGATGACATCGTCCGTCTGCTGCTCTCCAGCGGTGCTGACTGGTCCACCACTGACAGTCGAATGAACTCTGTCTACCATATTACCGCAATGAATGAACGTAACAACACGTTGAAATTGCTTCTACAATATGGTATGCTTTTTGTGAGTAAGAAAAGCTATTGCCTTACTTGAATTCAAGTGGAAAGCTACTAGTTAAACTTTTAAAAAACAGTTCGAATCCGAACTTCACGAAAGAAATCGTTCCCCAGCCGGCGGTTGAAGAGCAGGGTATAAGTAGATTGCACTTCACTGTGATGATTAGCATTCTGTTGTGTTTCTTTTGAAAAATCGGAAGAACGCCGCGCCAATTTTTTTCCGGTGTGCAAAGTTTTTTGGATCAAGCCACTACAGAAAGTTCCGCTTTTTCAAGTACCAAAAATGTCGTTTCTGGGAAAATTTATCCATTCACTGTTAACTAATATCCATTTAACAACAGCGATCATCGTAAATTTCATGAGGAGAAGACGCCCGGGCTATGTTGTGGTCGAGTAACAACGAGGGTAAGACACCTCTTCGCTTAGCCGTGGAAGGAAACCATCCCGATACTGTGCGCACAATTCTAGAGCTCAGGCAGTCTCAAAGTTCGGATTTTAACGCGTGAGTTGTCGCTATTCCACAATAAAACGCTAATAAAAGATCAAAATGTCTTAAGGCTTATTTACTGCCAATCCTTTTTTTTACGGCAGAGTTCTTTGCGAAGGAAAAGGCAGTAACTAAAAATTAAGACGTGATTTTGTCTGCATCTTCAGCTTGATTGAGCTCAGTGCCGATTTGTCCCCTATAGATCACTCTCGTTTGTGGGTAACTGTTGATAAAGGATAAAGGATAAAGCTGTCAGCGTTGATCAATCGCTGAGGGATGCACCATCTACTCGACTTCATTAATCATCGTTTGGAGGTGACTGAATGCATATCTGGCCTTTACAGTGACTCGCGGTGGCTCTGTCGATGTATCGAGCCAGTGCTGCTATGCTACCAGACAAGTCCGGTACCAATTTGCCGACCCCGAAGGAATGAAATGCTTGGTGGGCCATAGGCGAGGAGATTGATTCCATGCGTGTGTTGCAGGGTGCCTCCATCACTGCGCCATATGAGCACCCTGCAACTGCTGATAGTAGAGTAAAAAGACGGTTGAGAGAGCGGCAAAGTAAAGGTTTCCTTAGTTGGTGCAGTGAGCCCCGGAAAGGATAGTCGCCTGTTCGAAACCCAACAGGTTCTAAGTTTTGTCCATGCCTCAGTATTCTTGTGACTGCTAACAAAAAATCTCCATCAACCGAACATTACTATCAGTATTAGACATTCGTGGCAAATAATTGAACACGTCGAAGATCGCCCGTTTAAGATGTTTCATCACGGGCACTTCGAGTGTGACAGCAGTCCGAATGTGAAAGAAAATACCGACATATAACTCGTATATAATGCTGAGATATTTGCAAAACTCCGGGCCGCAGGTGTATCCAGTGGGGAACGAACGCGCGCTGTTGTCCTTACCGGGTTAGAGTTAGTTAAAAGTTAAAGTTAGAGTTACAGAGTTACAGTAACAGAGTTAGTTAAAAGTTAGAAGCATATACATTTCGTTTCATAGTGGATTATTCTGCTGTAGGAAAATGGATGATCCACTGATCTCCCTTTGTGAAGCGGTTATCTTCTTGTCTATAGTTTAGTGGGATGACATCCTATCGAATAATTTTTATTAATGACGATCGAAAGCTGCGCTTCGCCTTCTTATGCTCACCTTATTGATGAAGAAACTTCATTTTCGACATAGGTTGACTTCTTCAAACGAATGGCTGTCCCAAGTGTCCTACGTGCACCATAAAAATCGATGAAGATCATATTTTAATTTCCGAGAACAAAAGATAGTTTTATTTAATTCACCATGCTCTCTTTGGGTAAATATCATCGCTTTCGTTGGTTTCAGAAGTTCTCCACCTTTCAGGGCGTTATTTAAACGATTTTCTTGCTGCCCAGGGCGGTACGCTTGCATGAGTGGTGTCTCTCTTTAGGAGGCTCTCGGTTCTCTGTATTCCTGTAAAGCAAACACGAGATTTTACTCTACGCTTTATTCCGGTAAATCTGACGTTTCGGCAGCATCGCCTTCTTCAAAGCAAGGAGAGGAGTATTGATACGCAATTTATTATGCCAAGCTCCTCAATAATACGAGTTGAAAGATGTCTACATTAGAGTCGCGACCAGAGATCGTGAGCGGAAGCTTCTATTTTAGACGTAAACACAATCACAAGAATTACTACCAGCCGCTGCTCCATTGCCAACCCTCACATTTGCGCATAATATTTCCTAGACCAACTGAAAATGGAGCATTTTGAGCACTTTTTTAAGAGAACCCGTGGAAGGCGATGCTGCCGAAACGTCGGTTATACCGGAATAAAGAGTAAAGTAACACCTCACACTTGCTTAACAAAGATGTAAAGAACTATTTTACCAAAGCCGTGGTTAACAGAAAGTCGGTCAGGGAGATTACTCTTTATTCTATTTGATATGGTATGCTACGTATAATTACGTATAATTCTTCCAAAGTAGACATAGAATTGATTCGGTTGAAGCGACCCTGAATCTTTTTTCGTACATCCACTAATCGCTTTGTTGCTTCTTTTGCTAAATCAACGACCGCTTACACAGTACACTACTCACGCTGGGCTATGCGAACATAACTCTATGGGATCTGTGGATCAACATGTTGAAGTGCTAGACATCGAGGTCTAAAAATTTTTATGTTAAGAGCAGGTACTTGTTTATATCATATGTAAAACCCTTAAGTCACCTAAAATAGGTGCTTTGTAGCGCAGTGGTTAGAGGCGTCCTGTAATACACAGGTTTGATTCTGCGACTCAGGCTCACCATGCTCTCCATCGCTCCGGTGGCCGCAAATTGGTATCAGAGCTGTCTAGGAGGATAACACCACCAGCTACATACATGAGTAGGCTACCGCAAGCCATCGAAAAGGCCAAATAGTATTCAATCACCTCCAACAGTACTTAATGAAGTGAAATCCATGGCGCATCCCTCAGGGATTGATCAACGCCGAGAGCTTTACCCTTTATATCACCTGAGTACTGTTGACCTACTTCACCACTAACCGAGTACCGGATAGAGATTTTAACGGAGGTCTCTGAGTTTTTATAAAAAAAATTTTGCAGCTATCACAAGGAGGATAGGCTATTGCTACACGAGGCGGCCGGCAAAGGCTATATCGATGTTGTTCAGTGCCTCATCCAAGCAAGTTTTTCAACGTTTAATGAAATGTGAACAAAAAAAAGTGCAATGTAGGCAATGTTATGTAACAGTGTAATGTTAATGTTAACATACAAATATTTTTCTACATTTAGTTTTTTAAATAATCTGCAGCATACATTAAGCTGTCTCTGTGGAGATTTTTGCTCGCGGTCCTCATGAACTGACTGATTTTTGAATTCATGGTTTGTAGAAAGTAATCAGTCGTTGAGAGTGGAACAAACGCAGTGATTCTGGTTCCAGAGTGGCTATGATCCACGCTTACGCGACGACGATATGCAACTTCCGCTACATGAAGCAGCAAGTAAGAACCGGGCGCACGTCGTTGAACTGCTAGTCAAACTGGCGGTGAGAATCACAGTTACTTTTTCAGGCCTACGAATATGCCCACTTTCTTGAAACAAGTAGGGCGGATTCCGATTTTGGTTTGTAGGTTGGCTGTTTCATTTGCTTCATGATCCACAAATCGTGTACTGGTGTCTACGAACACCGATGACGAGCGCTATTGTTTGAGAAACGCGAAGCGAGTCGTACATCCTTTTATGTTTTTTTCTTACTACGAATTCACAACATCGGGATATCCAGTTGCGTCTGACCTTCATGGGCAATACATTTGCTATCGTACAAAATCTGGTCGACAACGAGAAGAATTCAGCGATTATTCTTGAACCGTTTGATATTTTCGCTGCTTGGTGTGATCTGTGCAGCACCGTCGCTGACTGTTGAACATCAGCCATCGACCAAGATTGGAACTTCGAACTCTTTTGTTTGTTACCAAGTCGCATTTAACACTGGCCATTGTCTTCTACTATTTCCACCTATTCGTCCCACATTATTGCAGGTCAACCAGGTGTTTTTTGTCTTTTTACTGTGCGTGTTGTCAAACTCTGGTCTCTTAATATTAACTTTTTATCTATTCCCAAGACCGACTTTCTGTTAACCTCGGCATTGATTGATAATTCGATGTTTTTCTCCAATAAGCAGACACGAGGTTGTTGTTGTTATAGAATTTATTAGAATATTTCTAAACGTTCAAATCAACCTATCCGAAAAAGGCTACAACACAAAATGGTATCGAAAGCCAAGCAATAAGAATATAGTGGTTCATTACCTTTCCTCTCATTCCTCACACACTAAAAGGGAGCTTATAAGAAATATGTTTCGAACTGCTGCTAACGTGTGCACAGGTAGAGATCAGAGGGAAGAATCCTCGAAACTGGCGCGCCAAATAGCCATTTTAAATGGTTACGAAACTGTAGCTTCTCGGCATAGGCATAGAGGAAAACCCACGCCCCAGAGTGATAATTCTAGCGAAAAAAAGACTCCGTTCCTCTTGCCATTTATTTCAAACGAAATAAGCTCAGCTAAAAATCGCTTAATAAGGGCCGGTCTAGAGAATTCCGTAAGAGTGATAGAAAAATCATCGGACACTCTATGACGCCAGCTAGTTAGCAACCGCCTATATTACCGTCTATGTATAACGACAAACTGCATAGTTTGCCCTGACGGTAGAGACGATGATTGCATGAGTTCGGGTACAGTCCATCTGATCTCCTGTAAAGCGTGCGGGGACGAATACGTTGGCGAAACGGGTAGACCACTCTGCGTCCGCATAAAAGAACACCTAGTCGGTAAATCTAAGTTAAAACCAAACACTCCATTAGGCGCGCATAGGATGCAAGAACACAGAGGAGAAGATTCTGAAGTAGAAGTCACTATCCTCACACAGGAATCGAAAACATCAGCGCGTAAAACTCTTGAAGCGTTTTGGATCAGTTCCAAAAATTCAGAAATGAACCGCAAGGAGGATTGTCTTGTCATCACGCGTGACCTGGCGCCATACCTCAGGCTAATCCAATGACCTGACACAGGCACGGTCCTCGCCCATGTATTACTCTGTGCGGCTGCTATCCACCAACTAACTGAAATACTTACAACAAGTAAACGGTAGGTGTTTAAATGAAGCTGTTTCTTATGCAAATGGAGATTTATTTGTTAAGTTTTATCTGCTGGGGTTATGAAAGTGTTTGGCTGAGTAGATCGCTTCTCAATTTGACCTTTGCAAGCTCTGAAAAAGGCGAAACTGCCGAAACGTCAGCTATTGTATCCTAATAAATTCCATAATAACAACCTCGTGTCTGCTTATTGAAGAAAAACATCGAATTTTTATATATTGCCTATTTTTCATTGCAAGGTATTACGTGTGATACAACCACAATGATGGTGTTGATCGATAGAACTAACTGAGAGACAGGCGAAACGAAGGATTCGCATGGTGTGGTGGTGAATCGGGTAAGCCTCTGGAAAGGGTAATAACGCGTTCGTTCACTACCGCAAACACCTACAGTCCGGAGTTTTGCAAACATCTCAGCATCATTGTGGTAAAATCTGTTGTCTTAATTTGATTACAGTGCTTTCGTGTTCTCGTTCGCCTAAGTATTCACGATTGAAGAACTAGAGATCGACGCTTTCGGATTTCTGAGTTTTTAGTTTTGAGGTAGTGACTATGTTGATATAGCTGTTCTTGCTTGTTGTGACTCCTTGAAGAAAGCATTTATGTAGAAAGTGATGTTTCTGTCCGTTATACGACATCTGGACATTATCAAAGCTCATATTTCAATCATACCTGATGTAATCAATCTCGTTGATGTACGACTTCTGGAGCGGAAAAGTTTCTGGGTAGCCCTAGATTTTGCGATTTAGCAATCACAGTGTTGTCATCGACGCGATAAATTCGAACACTTTCTCATCGTGCTCGCCTTGAAATGACACGGATGCTGCGACGTCACTGAAGCAAGCATTTAGTTAATACGCATTTTCGATCAGGATTATAGGCATATTTACATGGAACGGTAGTTACAGGTGTATTCACTAGGATATAACCCAGCTTTGACTACTCTGCGTTGTAGTTCTCTCATTTTAGCCGGACACTATAGAGGACAAGACTGACTATGGTATGACACCGTTACTAAGCGCTGTATGTAGTGACGCCCTTGAAGTGGTTAAGGTCTGTATTTACAGTTTCTAGACTTTCCGACAATACCATGCTTTTTTTGAGATTATTCTATGATAACCGGATGAATTCAGATCCTCATCGGTCAAAACGCTGATATTTGCGCCACTGATAACGATGGACGAACTGCTATTTTCATCGGTGCGAAATTTAACGCTATAAAAGTCCTAAGGGTGAGGAATTTCTATTTCGTCTCAGATTGCTCGCAAATCTTCTGCATTAACACCTAGTCAGGGAACATCTTACTTGTCCCGTAGTTCACCAAAGGTATGTAACGATGAACGCTTTATCCTTTATCCCCTAACTCGATAGGTTCAAATAACGATTTGAATATACGATACGATAAATTAAGAACTTCTTACGGTCTTAAACTTTTCTGTCAGCGTGAGATTCCAAAAGAGTAATTGCGATTTGGAAAGGCTGGGCTGCGCCTTCTACATTTCAAGCATGTCATGAGAAAGTCTTTGTATTCTTGATCAGCTGGCGCGAGCTTTCAAGGAAGTATTTGATTAACTGAGTTGCAATTGAATGCTACTTTTTCATCGTTCGAAGAAGGTGAAATCTCCTGATATATCTTTTGTATCAGTTTATTGAGAATATAAGGACTTAGTGCTGATATAAAACCGCTTTTGTGAGTCAGTAATAGAGCAATTTCAGTATCTGCTCGACCTTTGTCGGCAAAAGGATTGTGAGAGCGGCTCCATTCCTGATCTCGTGAATCATCCGGATCACAATCAGATGACGGCCATGCACGTCGTGTGCAACAACGGGTACATCGAAGTAAGCAAGGTAGGTGCTGCATTATGCAGAGTTTTATTGTGATTGGATCTCCATAATTTAATGAACACTTTGCTCACATGTCCAAGAGAATTTGTGGGACCCGAGTAACTAAATAATTTGGCTCTGCTTTAGAAATTTTTGAGTTGGGCTCATTAGTTATGCGGAACGTTTTTTAACATTCACGCCGAAGAACTGCAAAGCGTATGGGAGCGTAGCGGAATTATTAGCTCAAAGTAAAAGTAGCCTGGAACTCAGAAGTTATATAGTTGACGACTGAATAAATTCTTGCCAACTTGAAGTTCGATGGTGTTTTTGCTAGGAGCATTTCTTCAGCGATTCCTATTCTTCCCGAAATTGGACATTTGCTCACTTTATTCTGTCTATACTCCAACGATTTCTCCATTGCTAATATTGTCAGTAAAAATTGCAGCTTCTCCACGAATACGGTGCTTCCATTGATACTTTGAACGAGGAGGAAGAGACGCCGCTGCATTTGGCCGCAGCCAGTGGAGAGACCGTTAGTGGTTGGTTCCCTTACCACCTTTTCACTCTGTCATGGAATGCCCATTTCAGCAATTGATAAATCCGTGATCTCTATCAGTTGTCTAAATGTAATGAACTTCTATAGTTGTTGGTGGGTCTTTCGAAGTTCCGTAATAAACAGTTGGTCGTTAGTATCTTCTTAGTTACTTGGAGAGAATCCTCTCAATCTGTATTAGGTGTGATGTGTTCAGGTCATGTATAACTGTTTCTTAGACACTAACAGGCTGATATAGACAATTATGGAGCAGTCGCGAGGTTATTCAGGAGAAAAAATTTACTTCTTCAAAAATGTAATGTACACAACACGACGGTAGCTGACGTTTCGGTGGTATCACCTTCTTCAGAGCCTGGAAGGGTACACTAATATGTAATTTGCTAGGTCAAACGCTTCAGCAACGCAAACAGAAAGATGGAAATCTGAGCAATAATTACACGATCACCGGCTCCTCAAAAAACCCACCGTTTTCATACGTTTTCCACCAAGGAAGAATAGCCGCCTGGAGCCGCATATTGCTGCACCACCCCACATCAAAAATCGCTTCTGAGATACGGGGCTAGATCACGCGTTATTTCAGGGCATTCTTCCCTGCTATTCATTCTCGGATTTTTGGAATTTATCCAAAAAGCCTCGAGAAATTCACGCGTTGGTGTTTTAGTCTCTCGTAGGATGACAGCGACTTTTACATCAAAATCTTATCCGCTATGTTTTTGTATCCTATGCGTGCCTAGTGGCGTGCCTTGTTTTGATTTTCGTTTGCCATCTAGGTGTAGGTGTTCTTTTATGTGGATACATAAAAGCCTGCCCGTTTCACATACTGGTGTACCCTTTCAGGCTCTGAAGAAGGCGAAACCGCCGAAACGTCAGCTATTGCATCCTAATAAATTCTATAGTAACAATCTCGTGTCTGCCTATTGAAGAATTACATCGAATCAATCAATGCCGAGGTTAACAGAAAGTCGGTCTTGGGAATTGCTACGTGTTCTTGGGAGCCTTGGTGGAATTGCGATAAGTATCGGTTACGTAATGCGTGTGAATGACAACCGATGGACAGGAGCCGTTTTAGACTGGATTCCTCGGGATGTCAAACGCACTGCAGGAAGACCACCGACCCGATGGTCAGAGTTCTTCACAAAGGACCTTGAAACTTCGCCATTGAGCTTTAGGCAGACTTGTCAACTCATGAACTAATTGGAATAAAAATATGACGAGTCCCTAAAGGGAGCAGAAACCACTGGGCTACTCTTGCACGCCACAGGGAAAAATGGAAGATTTACTGGCGCCCGCTGGAGTCACTCGACGATCAACGGGGCTACAGGTGATACAGGTGATCGGTTACAGGGTGGCATGAGCATTTACGGTATGATTTTCATATCGAAATTGTGAAATCTTTTTCATAATCGAGAAACTAAGGATGAAGACTAAGTTGTGTTTATGATGAGTTTTAGACAGTTGATATGGTTCATTTAACCGGGTATTGTCAGAATTAAGCTTTTTGGAAACCAACCGTAATTTAACCTCAGTATGTAATGATTAGGTATGGATAATAATAATAGTAATAGTATTATAATAATAGCAATAATAACGAATAGTCAGTACTTTCTAAGATTAATGACCTAACCCGAGAGTGGTTGCAAACCTTACTCAGCTGACATTACGGCGACTTCCCTTCAGAGCCGTGTTGAGTCTATTGCCCACAGGATGATAGCAACCTCGTGTTAGTCTAGGATTGGGCTTTCTTTATAGGCTGTGTTTACAGTCGCTGATACGTATATCTGGACTATCTTCGTTGTAAATCTAAGCAATACATTTTTTTCAATTGTTCAGCCTACACGAGATAGACCAAAGATAGAGATCGAGAGGTGCTCTAGTGAAAAGATTCGACTCGATACGGCGATGAAAATGCCACATCGAGAAGACAAACGACTGCAGATCATGGACTCTAACCGTCATCTCTGCTGAGACAGACGAAATGTCTATGTATGTCGAAACGTTAGCTGAATAAAAGTTGTATGTCAACCTCGTGTATGCTGAACAATTCAAAGAAATTTATTGGTTATTCATCCCGAGGTTAGGTGCAAGTGGTTTAATAAAGTGTAAACAATATAATCCACATGCAAATCGATTGAACTATCGTTACAAGGATCTCCCATCGAGTGAAGTTCCAACATTCTTATTTGAAGGACTTTGATAAGAGGCGAAGTATGAACAGCATTATGGTAGAGATGAAGAGAGGAGCTCTCGGCAAATTTTTGTTGTACTTCGATACAAGCATATGGTATCTTCGTGGGTCATCCTCGTTACGATAGCTAAGAAAGATAAATAGAGGGACAAAGCTCTCGGCGTTGACCAATCCCTGAGGAATGCGCCATGCATTCGACTTCATTAAGCATCGTTTGGAGGTGATTGAATGTATATTTGGCGTTTAATGACTCACGATAGCCTACCGATGTATGAACCACTGCTGCTATCCTGCCAGACAAGTCTGGGGTCAATTTGCCGACCGCAGAGGGATGGAAGGCTTGGTGGGCCATGGGCGCGGGGTTAATTGATTCCACGTGTGTGTTGCAGGGCGCCTCCGACCGCTGTGCCATGCGTGCCCATACGATAGCTATGTTGAGAAATACGTTGGCTTGGATGATTGCAAGAAGCTATATATTCGCGGTTTACGACAGAGTTTTCTTCTAGATTATGACTGAATCGAATCTTTACACAGAACTAATGATTTAGTTTGCTGCACCTTGATGGTTTTCCGGAGATGTTACCTAATCACCGTCTCCTGTTTGTGCACACACGTAGTCGGCGCACGTAATCATCATTTAGGTCAGAACTTCATGATACGTTGTGACCAAGATTTGAGTGTTCCTCACTGGTTATCACATCATTCTACATGAAAGAGCTCAATACGCAAATGAAGATAAAGGACAAACCCTTCGGCTATTATCATTTCCCGAGAGATGCACCGTGAATTCAACTCCGATAATCATCGTAGAAGTTATTGAATGCATATCTGGCTTATACAATCATTTGTGGTGGGATACGAATATATCGAGTTGCCAGACTAGTGTTTTATCCTTCCAGGTAAGTTGTATACCGATTTGCCGATTCTGGCGGGATGGATAGTTTGGCGAGCCCAGGTCGTAAGACCTAACCATCGAATAATCCAGTGTGGCGGGGCACCTCTTACCACTGCGCCACATGTGCGCCTGATATACAGCTGTAAATCAAAACTTCGCAACGTACGAATGGCTTTTGTGACGTTATATATTAATTCTTTGGCTACTCGAGACATGAAAAACGATGAGTTGTCTCTAAAATTTCTTCTGCATCTCTTAATGCTTTACTTGTATTAGCTCACTGAAGAATTTCAATACTGTTAGGTGAATCTGAGCAAAAAATATCTTTTAAAATAATTGAGTAGTAGACTTTTCAACCTATTCAATTTGTCGCAAAACCTCGATAATATGAACATGAGTTTACACCTCTACATAGAAATCAGCTATGTGTAACGTTACTATAAATCCGCTTACAAAGACTCTTACCCATGTTGTTCCAGTACGTCAACTGCTTGATTGGGATAAGCGTTTGGTGCTGCTCAGGAATGAAGATGCTGACACTCCACTACATTTGGCAGCCAAGAATGGTACGTAACTGTCCTTTGAGAAATGTCTCTAGCACGTATATTCTGTCTTTGTACAACGTTTATATCTCTTAGTGTCATTTTCCTTTCACATTCGTTTATTTGCCGGTCAAAAATACTTCAGAAATACTTGGCACTAAATGCATGATTTTTGGGTTAGAGAGATTTTACCTTGTGTTTCCTGGAAACCTTCGCCAGGTTGTTCTCAGAAAGCCACCAGTGGTCCGCTTTGCTTGTTAACGAAGGGCAGGATTTTAGATGCGCGACTACGTTTCTCCGAGGACGGCGGAATTCCGACTGGAGCTGTGAGTCTCTCCACGAAGAATATCCTCTCATCGGCTGTTGAGGATAGCTATTTGAAGATGACAGTCAGTGTTGCTTCTCAAAAAACACGGAAATCGAAGTTGACTCTTTGAAAACAACTCGACTTGTTCTGAAGAATTGAATGTAGATTAGATAGATCGTCGTTACTAAGTATGCTTTTCACCTTTACGCAGTAGAGACGAACCCTTTCTCGGTTGCTTCCGGCGTGCGATCAAAAGCGACCTTATGGGACAAGAGACGACCGTAACCGCAATGGTTGGATCGCGTTACCACTTTCCAAAGACGACTTGCATTCGAAGAAAGTTATGGTAACAGCTGTGTGGTCTCAGACTGGACTTACTAACTATGACTTTCTTAATATTTCGAAACCGACTTTCCCTGAACCTCGGTATCACTAATCAATATGTATTCTTTCTTTGATGAGCTTACACGAGGTTGATAATGATGTTTATTTTCGGCTAATGCGCAATGATGTATGTCTGGAAGAAAAACAATTTGTTATCACCGGACATTATCATTATATCGACCATCAGCATCGTGTATAAAAGGGCATCACTGAGTAAAGATGCCTCATTCGAGGAGATGGCTCACTGAAGAAGACCTAAATCGACACGAACGCGAAGCTGCCACGTCGAGGCGAATAGCAAGCGAGGACGTTCGACTCGGATCATCGGCTCTGAAGAAGACGAAGACGTCGAAACGTTAGCCGAAAATAAACATCATTATCAACCTCGTGTAAGATCATCAAAGAAAGAATACATATTTCTTAATATTGTTAGAATGGCAGGGATGCTGAGCTATGAGCAAAACTCGAAACCCTAGGTGCCCCTGGAAGGCGTAATAGTAGGTTCGAAGCGCACCTGAGGTTCTAAGTTTTGTTCATGTCTCAGCAAGTTTGTGGTTGTATTTCACATCATATCCTACCATGAAAATTTAATAGGCGGTAAATAGAAGTTAAAACTAGTGGAATGACTACTGAAAAGAAATAGCGCTTGAAATCAGTGAAATAACACCTTTTCTGCACCTCCCTGCAACTATTTGTTCTAAAAATCTAGAGCAACTAAGCGATGATGAAAACATTTTTGGATAATCCGAGGCCTACAAAACTTTAGAATCTATACCACTTAGATAGATTGTATCCTCGTTGTAAAATGCTCGGTTTGAGCCGAGTAATATAATTCTAAATTTGGCATTCAAAAACGGTCGTTCTTTTTGCAACGAGAGCACCCAGCAACAATCTTCACTACTGAAGCCCTAGCCATTATAGTAAACTATTGGGTTCTGTCACATATAGAAATAAGTAATCAGTGCAGTCTTAATCTCACGTTAGAAATAATGTAAGCGTTATATTTATATGGTCTTATAAACATCTTCTTAAGCTGGTGCGAGGTAGGTATAGGTTCTCGTTGTCGTTGTCGTTGTTGTTATCGTTGCTGTTTAATGTTTGTTTGGTGCAAACAACGGACAACAACGACAGCGACAACGAAAACCTATACTAACCTCACACCAGCTTAAGAAGGTCAGTTTATAAGACCATATAAATATGTATATCAACTACCTATACCGAGGTTTATAGAAAGTTAGTTTTTTGAATGTAAGTGATATTTTATACACTGTTGTACCACGGTGTGGAAACGTTGGCGTAGACGTTACAAAAGTATCGAAAGATGCGATGAATTTTTCCTAGGTGCCAATCGGTGTATAGAGATCGATTGAATATAAATAGGCAACTTGTATGTTGGCACCACACTGTCGAGTGAGCTGCTATAAATGTGAAAATTATTGTTGCTGTTGTTAATATTCTTATTATTACAGTATTTGTCATAACTAACAACATTGGTTCGACACGATGGTTAAAGGATTTCAAACCGCTACTGCTTCAAGGTCCATGTCACATAGAAAAAGTAGGATACAGTAGTGGAATGTAGAGAAAGATCTGAAAAAATCTCTTGTGTAATGCAAGGAACGTCTTCTTCTTGTTCTGCTGTATTTTTTTAAATTTTCATCTATATATTTATTTTATATGGCTCGTCTTCACGTCTATTGTACGGATCCCAGCACTTCTCACGTTCGATTCGTTTCCTTTTCCTCACATCCATTCTCCATAAACATCTTCCAACATTTACATATGGCTTCTGTTGCTGTTTGAGGATTTCCGTTTCATCGTGAATGTCGTAGAATAGTGGTCGACCAATTCTCCTCGGAGTCCTGAGATAGCCGGGCTGGAGCGTTCCCAATTGGATTTCAGAGAGCGATTTTTTTCGCAGACAAGTCCGATACCAAATTCCCGACCCCGGAGGGGCGAGAGGCCTGGTTGGCCCGGAGCCGAATAGAAATAGCACCATTCTCATGATGACGGACATCACTACCACTGTACTATCCGCCCCTATCTTTTTTGAAAGAATAGAAAAACTGGTCTTCATTGGAACTCTTCTATTTCATCGTTTCCACTTCGTCTGTGGCGATACGTCGATTCGGCACATCAACAGCTGCATCTGCCTAGTTTCCATTAAAAAGTTGTTTTCGTTGGATTCCACTAAACTAGCGTGTCATGTTAAGTGAATGAACTTAGGATGAAAAAGGATCGGTGAACAGTGGACAAAACACTGGAGCGTTTCTAAATGCTCCTCGAGTCCTCACGACGAATATGTGAATTCACGATAGTCAATCACTGCGTGATGTTCGGTTTTCTTTAATCTGAATCACCTTTATTGTTATGATTTTTTAGTCCACTTTTTTCCTATGTACGGTTTTTTTCTTATCCAAAATTTACACGTTGCCCTGATCTAGAAGAGTAGTTTCATCTTTCCCTGTTTCTTTTTCTTTTCTTCTAATTCTTAGATTATCAAGTAAGACAAATGTCGGCTAAAGTTTTTGCGAGCATTGGCTCTCCCCATTCGATATCAGCATAGTTCTTATATTCGTTTCCTACCAAACGTCCAGGCTCAGTAAGTCTTCACTAGGATTGTTGAACTCACATGTCTCGTCCACTGCCGGCATCAACGTGGACTGTTTTGGAATGCAAATAGCCGGCCATCTATCTTCTGCAAATTCTGCTCCGCATTTGGGTTAACCATCTGTTATAGGGTCGAAACGAGAGCACCTGCTCCTAATCCCAGAAGAATTGTATACATAATTAATTGACAGTAGGTTTCTCCCACATTTGCGAGTATTACAAATGACAACCACTCTGCGCCTTCTAAATACCACTCTCGAATAGAGGGGTTCATCCTCAGAGCGATTACTCGTTGTTCTAACCCATCATCGTCGAGTGCGCGGACATCTGCTACAGCTGTTCACCACGCACTAGTCTCATTCAGAACATGCAGTTTCCCCGTTAGTAATTGTGAGCTTCTTAATGATTATCACTTCAATAGAAGGATGATCATAACACAACTGCCAGAGCTATGTTGATGGAGCTATGAAATATAATACAAACATCTTCCTCTACGCCAACTCCTTTCTTTTTTTAAATAAAGGCGCTTCTGTCCAGTATAAATATCGAGGAAGATAAATGGTAAACCGTTAGACGTCGATCAATCCCCAAGAGAGGAATAATGCATCCGACTTTATTCGTGGCATCGTGGAGGTGACCAGGCCTATACAATGACTTTCGTGAGACATGGTAAGTCCCCGAAGAGGTGAAAGGCTTGATGAGGCCTGGGTGCACAACACCACCCACAAGGCTAGTGTGTATTGCAAGACACCCTCTAATCACTACGCTACCCGCGTCCTTATTTCACCATATGAATGCTATTTATTTGACATTATTAGGGTTACCTTCAAGACAGACATTCCTGTTTAGCGAATTGATGCGCTCTGACAGATACAGTTTAAGTTGTTGTGTATTCTTTAGAAGTAAGATTGAATAGGAAGTTATTTGGCACGCTGTGGTGCTCCGTCAAATCTGGCAGTACACGGTGCAAATTTGCAACAACTGTGCAGCTCCAACAGCAAACCAAATACCAATTTTAGCTATTCTAAGAGATGTAACTCGTCGATAACTTTGGTGTTAAGAAATGGGACATGACACTTTCCCATTTGGTGAATGTCGAGGGATGTTCGGCATAGCTGATGAGCGACGACGATTGCCGTGGAAATCGCTGACGGATAGTGTCGCCGCCAATTATGGGACGTGGGATCGACGGCGGACCCTGGCACTGGCACGGCCTCTAGCAGGCCTAATTGAACCACCAAGCAACACATATTGATTTAGTGAATCATGTTCTCTGCTGTGGATTCCGACATGTCGATTCTTGACGCTTTAAATGTTAAAGCAGCTGAAGCTCAATGGGAATCACATCTAATTGTATAGGTATTAGCCGAAGACTAGAAGGCCTAAGAGATCACTTTGTGCTTGCTATTACTCGTTAGGTCTATTACTACAAAATCTAATGCATTCGTATAAGATTTATTAGATAACTGAAGGTTGTGTTCTCATAAAGTGTAGAAGAGTGTTGTATTGCACTTTTCGTATAAACCTTTTCGAGCTGAAAGTAGGCTTGAAGTTAGCTCTTAGGTATTTACCGTATTCGGAAGGTGATCACTCGCTATCATTAGCCATTTATGACACTATCCATCACAGCCAAAAATACGAAGGAATCCCTTTTTCCAAAACCAAAATCACCTTTTTGAGACTTCGTTGGGAAAAAAAGGCGGAAATGTTTTCTGATCGATTTTGAAACTCAAAAGAAACCTCGGTATTCTTACATTTCACTGGTTTTGGCATTCACTCAGTCTTGTTTGCTGAACGGCGTGGCGTTCTTGCTCATGTCCAATAGGAGCTAATAACTGGTAGAACAGATGGCTTGATGACATCTGCGCTGTGAGACAACAGACACTAAAGATTCCTTTTCCTTCCCTTCACCCTCTGGGAGCCACTTATTCTTCATATTCCTCCAATCGAAGAATGCTCTGTTTCTGTTGCCTCCTAATGAAAAGAAGGAGAAAAAGAAAAGAAAATCGATAACTACCTGTATCGAATGCACAAGTTACGCAAAAATATTAAGGGAGTATTATATTAGCATATCCATGGGTCGGTGACTAATAGAAGTGTTCTAAAGGATTCATGCAGTCATACATTAACCATAATAGTTGGTTGGTAGGACTGAAGAGTCATTGCTGAAGGCAAGACGCGCATCTAGCTTACATCCTGTGACTACGTGTGGAAAACACCTGCAGTTGTGCTAATCGTTCCTTAGGTCGTCTAAGTAGGACAGTTAGAGAGTTCCAAACCAAAGCCATCTTTCGATGACATCATCCGGGATTTATCGTCGCAGAAGATTTGTGTTCAAAAGCGAGCATCCTTAGAAACCTGACAAGTCGAGAGTTGAAAGCGACGAACTGCGAGGACGGAAATCCTACGAATACTGTTTCCGACGTAAACAACTATCACCAAGTAGTTGGTCGTTACTAATGAAAATAGGTGTTTTAAATAGGACTACTACTCATTCGACTTCACTTTTCAATGTGGTAACAGTCGGGAAATCGCATCGGCGCTGGCTGTCTTAAAAGCGAATCGTTGACCTATGCTTACCGTTTCGAACGTGGGAACTCTTCTCTCTTAACATTTCCTCTCACTTCATTTCAGTGAGACACGTGTATCGAGATTCCAAGCGCCAACCATCTATATCCTAGTGAATATACTCGATGCAAGTCAAAATACCTTGACCATTTTTTAAATACTTCCTAACGGAGCTGTAGTCAGACTGTGTTTGACCTGCTTATTGATGAGCTTCCTAGATACCACTCCCACTTAGCCCCGTAAAAGGGCAGCCGCAGCGAGTTTCCCGAGCCTCTCGATCGAATGCCTTCTCCTCTACCGTAATCGCGGGTGTTTCTTCTGAGGACAGCACTATGGCGCATTTCTGTGTCGTCACATATCTCTATCACTTTAGCACTCTTCTCACGGCTTCTGGTGACTGCCTCCGGCCAATGAATATTTCTCTAGGCGGCATTGCGTTGCCTTCCTTACCAAAGGTCTGCGTCTCCAATTCGCGCAGCAATCCTGGCCTGTTTGACGTCTGGGCGGCTCGCAGCCTCACTTCCTCTCTTGATTGCCTTCCATGGTCGAACAGCAGTCCGCTGCTGCGTTCTGCTCGAGGAATTGCCCTCCTCCCCGTAACCCCCTCCATGCCTAATACCGCCCCAACACCTAATATTGAAGTGCTTCGTCTCATTCTGTTCTGAAGCTCTGCCTAACTACCCACATTAGATCTGCATAAACGACGCTCCTTCTGCTTCTTATGATTAACTGGTCGGTAATATTTCACGTAGTTTTTACTTCAACGCTTAGCCTATGTATTGCGTATTGCGAGCGTCATATCTACAACTGAGAACTACAGATTTCCTTTAAAACTGCTGAAACGAAGACGCCTCCCATCGTTTTCGTGGCATCGACGGCTCTGTTTCTCCTCTGGCATCTTTGAAATCAGTACCGCTTCCGCACCGCCCACTTCTGCTTTCAATGCAATAATTCACTATTCGTTTAGAGTTGGTTCTGCCTAGTAAATTCGTCTGCAATTGACCGTCCGATGAAGACTGCTTTCTGTGTCGCACGACCACCTGCACCCCCTCGCTCGGCGGGCCCGCCTAATCCTGACCACCTGGTCCAAGAGGGCTTGACCCTACCGACCAACTCTCGACCGCCCCCATCCGACCTCAATCCGTCGACTACTGTACTATTCGTGCTACAGCCACTGCCTTCTTACTTCTTCGCTAGATCGCTTCGCTTTCATCGGTGACTTTAGTGTGAAATGCAACTAAGGCACGCGGTGAATGCCAAGCGAACACAGCGATTCGTTTTCGATTTGTTCCGTACACTTTCATATTTCCAGTTAGCTTCTGTTTCCTAAAGTCAACGTCGATGCTGTTTTCTCAGTGTCTCTGAACCTGTAATGGAATTTATAATAATAAAGTTCAGTGAAGTTAGCAAACGCAATTATTGTACGGAACATGAAGCTGCTTTTCACAGTCTACCATTGAATTCCTTTTATAGGGTCGGAACAAAGCGTTTTGTTCTGAATTTTGTATGAAGACGAGTTTTTAATTTAATGCATTCAAACCACCGCCTCCTTCCACTTTGCTACGAGAATTTCAAACTCTTTACCAACTCCAAAACTTCTGTCAAAACAGTAACATTGAATCACTGATGGCCTGCCATCCAGTTCAGGTAGAGCGCCGCGCTCCATGAGATGACACCTTTCGCAGTTCTACTCATCGTAAAATATTTATGGCCCTTCAGCGAACACGAAATCTTCTAATGAATAGCGTGTAGCGATTTTCGCTGTTTTCGGTGGTGTGCTGAACGAGAAGCGACATTCGTTAACGGAACGGCCGAGCTCCCGACGGAGCCTATCGATCCGAGGCGCTCCGAGGGATGACGCGCGACTCCGTACGCAGGACGTCCTCGCGGAATTCCGAAGGGACCGAGCTCCTTGCTCGCCGCACTTTCACACGTCATTGGGCGAACGATTCTGGGTGGCGACGGTTTACCACGCGCCGTGCGAGACGTGGAGCTTACGAATCTAGGCTGCGTACTACCTACGTTAGCGCTTTACTAGTCTAATTCCCTTCAGATGCTTCGATTTCGTCGGAAGGCCTATTACTTTGACCTACTACAGGTAACATTGCTTGGATTAAAACTTGACTGGGTATCGACTGGAATTCGTAGGTGGGAAAACAGCTAGACTGGGATCTTGGCGCTATGGTGACACGTTGCGATGATGTTATCATGTTATTTGCTTCATCTGCTTTCTTTTACCAAATCCCTTCTCGGTTAGGTTCTTAAGATTTTCCTGTGTACAGGAACCACGCCATCGTAAGGATGCATTTATTTCTGGTAGGCGAATATGTTCTGTGACGTCTAATGACACTCGAAAAGATAGTGATAGATTAATATTATCCAGGAAAATCTGAATTCAGCCTCTTCAATTAGATACTCTAATGCGCTGTGCTGAAATCATTTCCTGGTCATGCTTTATATTAATGACTATTCGTGCAAAATTTTTAGAATATTAAGAAAAACCAGGAAATGTTTCAATTACTTTATGAAACCATCTGCAAGGTTTTGTCCTTGTATTAAAGTATTTCACACTAATTCATTCTGCAAAGAGGAATCAAGTTTTCTCAGACACCTCGAAATTGAAGCTTATTACCGCTTAGAAGCTTTCGTTAGGAATTTGTCAATCCCGGAGTACCGTACATTCGACTCCGTAAAGCATCACAGAGGCGATTAAACGCAGCTTGCCCTATAGACCAACGGCCTATTGGCCTACGACGGTCTGCCATATCATATCAGTGTTTTTTCCCCCCAAGAGAAAGTTGGAATGAATTTGACGACCCTGAGGCGATGGAGCTTCTAATTTGGCCGGGGATTGAGATCGAACCAGTGACTGATCCTGGGTGCTTTGAGGGGCACCTCTAACCACTGAGCTATAATGTATGCCCTCACGAATTGTCATAGTGAGTTAACTATTGTGAATGAGCCATACAGAAAACTGCCTGATAGTTCTTTATCGCTGGCAATGATATGAGCATAACACTGAATTACAACAAACCTTTTTTCTGCTTCCCAGTAAACGCCATTCATGGACCGACAAGTAAATCTTCGGCTTGTAAACTGCTACAATAAGAATAATAATAAAAAGTACATGATTTGCAATTTATTCATGTCTGCTACATCTATACGGAAATGATTAGGCAAAGCAACAATTGAGAGCCAAGAATATATTACTTTTATTAGGGAAGTGAAAGACAGTAAATCATACAAGGCGTAACTTTGCACCGAACTGATGTACTCACCATTCAGTGCAAAAATGACTCTATCCAACTAAATTTCTGTTTAAATTAACACTACATCGACATTCATGGTAAACAACTAACACTGGAAACTTGAGAGAACTGGAGTTTAATGACCTATCGATATGTACCGTCTCAGAGACTTGTAGATGATAAAAAACAAGGTTGCCATGTGACAAAACAATTGTTATATTTCAAGTAAACTAAGTGAATGATTTAACGAATGGAACAAAAAACTGGAAGATTCAGGTCGTGCTGAGACGATGAAGGTGCTTCTCGATGCTGGGGCCGATATCGAGGCGAGGAATTCGCTCGAGCACACGGCACTGCAGTGTGCCGTACTCGCAGGCCACCTCGGCACAGTGCGTCAGCTGCTTGACAAGGGTGCGGCCATGGAGAACAAGGACGACAAGAGGTTCGTGGGAGCCGTATCGTCCAACATTCACCTAAAAATACTTGAGGCTTTGAGATATGATGTTAATATTATATTGTATGAGTTGGAATATTCTACCACTGCTTTTTGACAGTAGACATGGAGGCTCTTGAGTGGACAAAGGTATAGAAAAACAATGGGCGCTTTGACCTTACATTATTTATGCATTAATGTCTTAACGATATCGCTACTGATTGCTGAGGCAGTACACAGAATGAATAATTAAGTACAACGGACTTCGCTAATGCTATCCCTAGAGCGTCATGAGGAAGAACGTATACTTTGCTAAACACTGGAGTTAGAAATAAGTAGGGAACAGTGACGACAAGTGAAATTTCTAGGAACTTATTTTTCGTACCAGAGACCACTGATTTTGAGATTTCTTTAGAAGACTTTTTGTGTACCGTTTTAGAAGTAACTACAGTTTCACAGTCACTTGTTTTTCTTGCGGTTAGAATGAAATTGTAGTGATACACGTGCATTTCTTTTGCTGACCAATGTTGGAAATTAAATAAAAATACTGTTGTCCTGAAAGCCCATGAAAAAAGTCTCAGAAATTATCCCACTCTTGTTCGTTCCCCTCGAGAAGAGATGCAACTTGATAAAGCACAACTTCTAAATATCTCTCCAAATGACCACATTACTAGTCCTCATTACCCTCCGCTACATTCTGAGATACCACTCACTCATGATCGTCTAAATGTCCAGCAAAGAGGGTTAGCTGGTCCGAACCGTAGCCTCCACTGGCCACGGTTTCTTCTCATGGTCCTAGTTGAAGGGGAGAACAAATTTCACTTCAACAACTATAGTGTCAACAACTATTGTGAAGTGTAAATATTTTTAACGGAGAAAAAACAAATATTTAGCGTCAGACTAATGCGATAGAAGTTGACAGATTTCAGTGACCCGACTGCCTTGCATTTAGCGTCGGCACTGGGCCATGACGCGATTGTACGCCTGCTACTGGAGCGCGGCGCCACTGTCGGCAGGAGGGACGAGCACGGTAGGACCGCCCTCGATCTGGCTGTCGAGCACGATCACAGGTGAGTTCCGGTGGAAGTCATTAAGAGCACACGAAGCACAACAAATCAGTGCCACTTTAAAGAGTCATTAAATATCCAAAATCAATGAGCTTCTCGTAGGTAGTGCAGCAGGACACTTTCGTCATTGTAAACTATGACTGCCGCGTTTTGAATATGCTCTAATGGGAAACTTATTCGTTTGGAGTGGATCACCCAAAACAATTGGCGAAGATAAAATAAATATAGTATAAGGTATTTATGGCCAACGTAAGGATGTACCACATCCTCATTCAAATTTTTTAAGCGTAAATTCGTAATGACAATTCTTACCTATACGACGACTTTCGTAGACCAAGTGATGAACAAATCATACTCGCATTCGTTAAAAACCTTTGCATTTGAGAACAGCTGAAGCGAAAAGTCTATTCGGATGTGTTCGTACTAGTAATCTTGTACAACGAGAATCCTTATTAAACCATACTAAACGTCTACGCAGATACATGACACTACCGCAATCGGATATTTCGAGTTCCTCCATCAAATGGTGCTAACGACGACTAATACTAATTTCTAAGAGGGCGGATAGCACTGTAGTAGTGATGTCCGTCATCACGAGCATGGTTCTAGCTCGATTCTGCTGCGGGCTAACCAAGCCTGTTATCTCTCCGGGGCACCGAACTTGTCTGGGAAAAAATCACTCTCTACAACCCAGTTTGGAACACTCCAGCTCAACTATCTGAGGACTCCAGGGAGAATTATTCGACCAATATTCTACGACATTCAAGATGGAATGAAAATCCTCAAGCAACAACCGAAACCACACGTAAAGTTGGAAGATGTTTGTGGGGAATGGATCCGAGGAAACGAATCGAATGTGAGAAGTGCTGGGATTCGCACAGTAGACATGAAGAGGGATCATATAAAATAAATAATAAACGAATAAATACCAATTTCTAATCTCCGTTTGCCACACATTAATAAGGAGTGCCTTAATTTTAAACAAGAATCTACTTGGGTTGTTTTCACTCTGCACGAATGTCGTAACAGCTTCTTCGTGTGATATCAGTAATGAATATGAAGCTGGTCCCTTCTACGCCAATCGACAGTGATGGTGTGGAGAAAGAGGTTATGATTATCTCATGTGTCGTACATGTCATCTCAGCGCATGTGAGCGTTGCTTTTTGATGACCAAGCTGTATAATGTGGATACTAGCTTGTAAGAGCAGTCGTTGTTTTCAGAATTTGTGGAGAAAATCAAAATACCAAGATTTTTGAAAAATCGATTAATTTAGAGAAGTGGCTTATGCGCTTTTGGAATCCGAAGATTGGAAGAGTATCATGTCACCTGTGGATGAATTGCCAATCGGGCGGCACAATATAGCGAGAGATACTCCGTTGAGGAAGCTCATCCGCAAATATCCTGAACTCGCCGGAAAGGTATTCGACAAATGCATCACGTAAGTATGCATGTGCTATGGATTCACCACAACCCCAAACCAACTTCGTAGGGCATTTCCTGGTTTTTGTGCAACATTTTCGAGGTGTTATGGTTGTGCTGCTGAGCGTGCGTGTGGCCTCAATGGTTGGAGGCGCCACTGCGACACATATGTGGAATTGACCCTCGCGCCCATGGCTCACCAAGCCTTCCATTCCTCCGAGGTTGGAAAATTGGTGCTAGCGTTGTCTGGAAGGATAACAGCACTGGTTCGATACATCAGTAGGTCACCGCGAGTCATTGTAAAAGCTAGATATGCATTCAATCACCTCCAACGATACTTAGTGAAGTCGAATGCATGGCGTATCCCTCAGGAATTGATCAACGCCAAGAGCTTTATTCTTTATACTTTATGGTTGTGCTAAATGCATTTCATATAGAAATTTTTGTGAATTATTCCTTTCAAGGTACGACGAAGAGAATCCAAAAAGTCCATGTTTTTTCTGCGAATACGATTTCACACTTCTGGACGACACATACATGGTGCCCTCGAAAGATGGAACAAGTACGTACGTCTTATCATGATTCTTTCGAGGAAAGAATTTTTTTGTAACATTTCCGTTATAACTACAATAGTGCTGAGATATTTGCAAAACTCCGGATCGCAGGTGTTTGCGGTGGGGAACGAACGCGCTATTACTCTTTCCAGGGGGCAACATCTCCATGACTACACCATACGAGTCCTTCGTTTCACCTATCTCTCAGCTAGTTCTATCGATTAGTGAGCCGGTAAGGGTAACAGTGCGTTCGTTCTTCATCGCAGACACCTGTAGTCTGGAGTTTTGTAAATATCCCAGCACCACTGTGGTTCTATTTCGCATAATACCCTGCCATAAAAAATTGTGGTAGGCACCAGATAAAAAGTTAATATTGTCATTTCTGGTATTATCAACTAGATTTTCCGATCTTATTTGTGCTTGGAGAATTTTCCAGAAGCATAGACGGACTAAATTACCAACAATTTAACCTAGTAAATGTGTAATTAACCAGGTATTGCTCAAAACTTACCAGTCACTCTTTTAAAAGGGTAAAGTACGCAATATTTATCCCTTGGTCATTGCAAATTTCATGGGGAATAGGTAGTATTTGCCGTACATGAGACAGCTTAGAATTCCTTCCTCATCCTCTGCCTTTGCTCTTTTTCCATTTTTCCAAATTTTCATTGATCGGTATCAACACGAGTTTCGAATGCGTGCCATACGTTTATGCTGTTTTATGAATATTGTCCATACAATGCCGTTCTCATTGTGAATTCATCAGAGCTGCTGTCAACAGTGAGCCCGTACAAGGCTGATGGAACTCTCAGGCAAGGCGCAAAAGCCTACTCTGACGACTACGACGTCGTCTACAAAAATCATCCGCTCAAAATGATGGTTGGTAGTCGAGCAACGTGCTCTGCGAGATAGAAATCCTAGGTCGTTTAGTATTGAATCTAATCCTTCTTAACTGTAAACTTGTCTTAAGCCTCCTCCTAGGTAACGCGCACATCTTAAGGTAGTAAACGCAGTTCGGGAAGGATATTATGTTCAATGTCTTGAAAATATAATACTGACATGGATCTCCTGGCTTTAGATTCTTGCGCATCAGGATCGATTTTGAATTTATAAGTTGCATTAGTGTAATGTTTCGAAGTATCCTTGTATTATTTTAGGCGAAATGTGAAGTTCTTCTTTCACATCCGTTGGTTTTAGCACTGCTAAAGCATAAGTGGAATAATCTTGGCCGATACGTTTACTACTTCGGTGAGTAGTACCATCACGTATATTCCGTTTGTTTATACCGTACGATGTCTTGCTTCTGAGTTATGTTAGGACTTAATATGTATTCCATATCTAATAATGGTGACCCAAGTGAGAAATTCATCAATGGATGAACTTGAAACATTCTTTGACAAATTGACAAGTTATTTGTTCAATTCCGAGGTTATTAGAAAGTCGGTCGTTGCAATTCCTTGACTTCATCCTTTGATTGCACTTCGAGTTGATTTCATAAAAGTTTGAAACCGTTACGCCGAACAGTTCAAATTTTTTGCTCTGGGTGTATCACATCAGTCGGCGTTATTATAGGCAATAAATAAGCCTTGAAAGGATTACGGCAGCAGTGTGAACAATAAATATTAATAGCCTAATATATTTGTGGAATTCGCAGCTACGAAAGCGGCCATTTCTTATCAAACCTACGGGCTTCACTTTTTTTGAATGTTCATCAAAAATTTTGTCTGATCACTATATACAGCGACGGGAAGAGTCCACTAGCCCGTAGACAACGAGCTCCATGGACCGTTTTTTGGCTTGCTGAGTAAAGTACCGATCAACTCAGCCGTTCTTTGTGCTCCGAGTTATGCTATCAAAACCGAATGCTTAAGTTATCAAACTTAGTTGTGTCGATGATACTGCGGAAAAGTCGTAGAGCATCAAAAAGACTATCCTAAAAATCGGCCAGTTTCATTGGCATCCCACTGGATCATAAATTTTTGAAGATTTCATTTCTATATTATTCAATGAATGCCACGAAAAGTCCCGTAACATCATCAGAAAAGAGGACGTTAGCTGTACAATAAAAGTAATGGAATTGGTTTTTAGAGAAGCTAAAGTGTCTTCACGGCGGAGTATAATAGATGTAAAAGCCGCGGCACCTTTAACCGACTGGGTTCCCCTGCCATACTGATATTCGTCTCAGTTAAGGCTCCCATAGACGTGTTGATGATAGAAGCCGACATATCCAGAAACAAGTATTGCTGAAACAAAGAGCAGAAAGAGCTGATACAATGCTTGCGGAGAAGCCACCCAGCTGTATAAGAGAAAAAAAATAGATTACAGCAGCAACCTCTTTATTGTTATACAAGTATAAAATGCAATGATAACAAACGTGGATGGAAATTGTTCACATACCTGTTCCTTTTTTACATGGATTTTTATCCTCGTTGCTCGGTCGATCAACTACTCACAAAAATTAGGACCGCTGGAAGAATTTTCTTCGTAAAATAGTAAACTCTTCTCCGATCTACAAGAGCCGATTGTCACCTGTGATGAAAACATTGAAGCGCCTTTCGCAGAAGAAAACCTCCGACCGCCTTAAATGGGTACCTCGGGACTGCAGGAAAACGTACACTTGACTGAAATTAAAGGTGACAATAAGGGAGCAAGAGAACAGAGAGTCAGTTCGAACTTGAACCCATACACTAAATCAACTGGTGGAATGAACAGAATTGCGGAATGCTTTCGTCATCACATCGTCGAGTACCTGACAATTTGCGAACCTGAGTAATCATTCTGATCAGGGGCGTGATCATCTAATCTTTACCTGTGCTTTTCATACCCAACACTTCTTGTTTTGCTTGTAATATTTTACTTGAAATAATCTGCATATGTCTGCCACTAAAGGGCGCCCTGCCACACACGTGGAATCGATCCCCGCACCCATGGCCCACCAAACTTTTCATCTCTCCAGAGTTGGCAAATTGGTACCAGACTTATCTGGGAGGATACAGCACTGACTGGCTACATCGGTAGGCCACCGCGTGTCATTGTAAGAGCCTGATATGCATTCAATCACCTCCAAACGATGCTTAATGAAGTCGAATCCATGGCACATCCCTCACGGGTTGATCAACGCCGAAAGCTTTATCCTTTTATGTTATAATTGACACTTAATACTTCATACAGCAAATGGTGTTCCTTCAACTAAGCGTGGGTTCAAAATGGAACAATTAGGGAAATTCCCGAATACTCCGCGACAATTGTTATCAATTGTCAATTGTAGCGTTGGCCATCTACTTGCTGTTCCTGTGCGCGTACACGTTGTACGTTACGCACACACCGGCTCCATTCAACGTCTACGACGAAGATCGCGGCGAGTTGGTCGATCTGACGGCAATTCTAGTCAGTGGAGAGCCCGAGTGTCCCAGAATCGTGAGTTCCTTCATTTCGACTTTTGATGACCTCCTTATTAAGTGTCAAAGATACTATAATACCTCCAAGGTTCGCTGCTGAATGTGACATCCTCTTAAATTTTATGCTTTTGACATAACTGTGGTATTTAGAAGGAATTACCTCTTTATTTAGATGTTTACTTTTTCATACACAATGGAGCTGCACTCTTTGATATGAACTATCCACATTAGTTTCGAATGTTTTTTCTCCATAGGCAAAGCGTAGCTTAAAGGTTATTTCCGTTCTTCCATGGTCTTTAAAATGTTAGTTTTCCAAAATAGAAGAGAAAAGCAAACTGTGTACTCCATTGCTTGTTATGGAATGTATTATGAAATTCAACAACAATGATGCTGAGAAATTTGCAAAAACTCCGATCCCATGCTAGATTCAAACATGCGATTACCTCTTCTAGAGACTCACATGTTAATCACTGCACCACCGCGCCCTCGTTTTTCTTTTCTCTCAGCCACTTTTTTATCTAAGCGGTGGTTTCACCAATCACCCGTTAAAACCCTAGTTAGGCTGAAACTGCAGTCGAAATCACAAAGTTTAAGCTTTAATTTGCTGGGTATTATTTATTTCTGGCAGGGTGTTAGGTGAAATACAAGGAATTGCACTGAAAAAATAAACTGTTTTACTTTCAATCTATCATCCAGCTCATCGAGAGAGTTTTTAAGAACAAAATAAATTTATGATGTTGTTTTTGGATCCCAGTAGTCATACATCTGGACGGCAACATGGTTCAAAGGATGCATTTTACTTACATAAATACTTAGCTAATCCCAACAGTTTACTCCTCATCATGTCATCACGGCTGTGAGGTATTCCTAGGTGTCGGGCTGAGATGTACGGCGGGGAGGTTCATTCCCCGGGCAGGGTCTCCCAAGCTGAAAAGAAATCCGAAGAATCTGTGGTGGTGACGACCTGGGGCAGACTTTGGCCTCTCTGACATCCAGGGAGCCACAGTGGCTAAACCAGCAAAACTCAGAAAAAATGTAAATCATGCTGACGCCCACGCAACTAGTGAGGACTGGCCCTCCAAATATGGCAGTAAGTAAGATATTTAGCTAATGAGACATTTTCCTGCACTTTTTCGATTTTCTTTTATTTTCATGTCATCCGTGGAGCTGATCGAGGTCGTATTGTGGCTTTTGCTGTAAATTGAGACGCTGTTGTCTTCTTCACTCAGCTCGGGTAGCGACTAGGTTTTCGACGCGTACGTCGAGGCAGCCACAATGTTTTCTTTTCCACTTCTTGTCGATGCTATTGAAAGCTCCCTAAACCTTTCGCTTTCTCCTGCTCAGATTTACAGCTGGGTCGTTCATTATTTCGACTTTTCCACACAGACACATAGATGAAGCATTCGGAATAGCATATTCACACCGATGAGCACGAATGCTGCATCAGTGTCTGTTTTTCATAAATATTGTTTTAATGAAGCTCAATCGGAGACTATTCTATTTAAAGGGTTGTTAAAACAGGCCAACATTCGTTTCACCTGGCAAACACTTGAAGGTATAAGAAAAACGGAGATGGTGTTGTTATCGACCATCGATTTCCATTCCCATACTACACTGTTTCAATTCTTGTATTGACCGAGGACGGCTTGAATCTTCAGAAAATCAATCCTCGCCCCTATCGTAGCTGAGTATGTGGCTTTTTTAAGTCAGTGAGACAAAAGTGTCTCTAATTTCTATGATGCTGACATATTTGTAAAACTCCTGACCGCAGGTGTTTGCGATGGGAAACGAACACGATATCGATGATGGCAGTGATCGATAGAACTAGCTGAGAGATAGGCGAAACGAAAGACCCGCACGGTGTGGTGGTGAATGCGTTACTCCCCGGAAAGGACAATAGCGCGTTCGTCCCCTATCGCAAACACTTGCTGACCGGAGTTTTGCAAATATCTCAGCATTATAGAAGTTGTACTTCGCAACATGCTCTGCCATTAAAAAGAGTAGGCAGTAAATAAATAGGTTAATAGTGTCTATAATGTTCTCACTATATTTCAACGAGTCTGATTATCGTGTTTATGTGGTTCGTCGTACTAAATTCTTCTCAAAACCCTGCTTGTGCACGTGGCTGTTTTTCGTCATTCCTGTTCAGGATGACTCGAATGAAGAGTTTGTAGACGACAGACAACAGACAAATTGGGTGATATTCACCAAGTCACGTAGGCCTCCTTTGTTGTACAACAGCAGGATATTGCGTGCTGCCGGGACTGGCAGATCCTCAGTATTCGGGTCTAATACGTGATTTTGTACGGCTGTTAACCGATTAGCGAACATGTCGGAGTTCGGAAGGGGGAGTCACAATGGCGACATGTCCATTCCCACTCATTTCATGTGGACACAGGATGATGTGGTTGTTGAAGAGGTCATAGTAGAAGCCGTGGGTGATTTATCGAGTGCTTTTTTTGAAAGCTGCAACTGTTTCGTCTCGACAACGATGGTCGATCACCTCAGTTTTCTCTTGAACTTTAGGCGAGCGTTGTGTATGGCCTTCTTACCATCCACATCTTCAGACATTATTCTTGTTTTTATGTCTGTAAGATCTCTTCCTACTGCCTTTTTGTAGACCACTGCAAATTGAGAGATGAGCTAGTGACTTCCCATTGCTGTTGCGATTCCATATTGCTTTTATAATCGAATGCTTCTTAAGACAGACTTCTACCGGTGGCTTTCGAAGTCTTGACTTTCACCTCACTAGCTTGAGAAAAGTCGATCGTTTTCTTCACCGTCTTTGATATTTGATTTGATGACCTTAATAAATTCATCCTTCCAGATGCTGGCTAGCCATCTAAACAAATCCCAATCTACGATGGTTAGACTTAGACATCGGATGATGAAAATGAAGCTCTCGAAATTCTAATTTAACATGGATGATTTTGGTCAACTTGATAAACTCAGTCAACCCCTGGCATTATTCACTGCATTCCAATCCGTGGGTCCCGACGTGAAATTGTTCAGTCATTCCCTGGGGTCATTTTAGACAACGAAGTTGCTGTTGATATCGAAGAGATTATAGTCTTTGTAGAACTTTTTTGAATCCAACTCTTGATGTTAAAATGCAAATAACGAAGAGTATGAAAGCCAGCATTAAACCTTCACCAGCAGCCTTCCGATGCGAGTTGTTAGTGCTTTAAAAAGTCGGTATTCAAAGCTAAACTCAGGTTAATGAGAAAGCCAATGCTGCCGATTCCTCTATTGTCACCTATTCGAAGTGATAGTTTTTCTCCTGTATAATGAACGGACTTTAATGGGTGGTGTCTATTCATGTCGACTGTTCCGTTGACGGTGTATCCAATGTGATCTTGAACATGTGCTTAGGTTAGTTCACAAATATGTAGATTGTATTCCACAAGTCAGTTTAGCCAAAAGCTTGAAATTGGGATACTGCGAAATGTATAGGACATATAGGAGTCACTTCCAATAAAGAAGCTCACCGGAAAGTTTGTGGGATATAGTATAGTTAGGAATCACCTCCAACAAATAAACTCCATGTCTTCTCCAGAAAGAAAAACAAATTACCAATAAGTATATATAGCTCTAACGTAAGAAATAGGCCATCAACTGTCAAAAATGAGGTTGATATAGCACTTGATTGCGACTAACTTTTCGTCTCCGTCGCTTTTCCCATTGTTACGCTGACTGCAGTCTTGTTACGTCTTTGTGATGTGAATGTTCATAGTCACATCGAGTCCAGTGGAGTAAAGTGGACTCCAGCGCGAAGGAAGTGGCCACAGTTAGCAGTACCCCTTTATAGAGAAGCGTTGCTTCCGCTAAAATGAAGCGACCTCAGTGAGTAGCGACGAGGGTTACAAAACCGTTCTAGGAACAACAAGCTCATGTGCAACTGTTAATGCGCAAAGAACCTGATTAGTCATTTCAAAGTTAAATGGAAGGTAATATTTAAAATAAAAACTTCTACTTTTGATTTCGTGGGTAAATAAACAGCACAGTAACAAGCTCCTGTTTTCTCATCAAGAGAACAGTGAATTATCAAGAATTTTCTGCTAGGCTAAAATATTCTCGGAAATGGTAAAAAAAATAACGCTCGAATTTTAGAAATTGAATGTGTTGTTTTCTTGTTCAGCAATCGCGAGGTTTTTAAACAGCATACATTTACTTCCATAAAAACACAATACAATACAACGCTAGCTGACGTTTCGGCAGTATCGCCTTCTTCAGAGCCACTTTTTCGTGACTTCCAATGAGGAAGTTTAGAACAGCTGATTATAGTCGCATGTGGTTGACGACTGCACCATCCCACATCAAAAATCGATGCGAACGTACGGGATCAGGTCGCGTATGACCTCCGGGCATTCGTCCCTGCTATTCATTGTAGGGTTTTTGGCATTGATCCAAAAAGCCTCTAGGAGTTTTCGCGCTGGTGTTTTGGACTCCATGCAAGGATATTGACTTTTACTTCAAAATCGTCTCCGCTATGCTTTTGTATCCTATGCCTGCCTAGTGGGGTGCTTCGTCTTAGTTTTCGTTTGCCATCTAGGTGTTCTTTTATACGGATACACAAAGGTCTGCCCGTTTCGCCAATATATTCATCTCCGCAATTGTTACAAGAGATCAGGTATATCGTACCTGAACTCATGCAATCCCCGTCCCTGCCGTAAGGGCAAA